TAAGGTGGACTTTTTCCTGTATTTCTGCAGTATGTTTGTACTCAGTTGCTTGTTTACCTAGAAGCAGTTACTGTGGTATTAGTGTTTGTGGTATTAGTGGAGTAGGGGGAGATATGAAAGGCATTATTAATTTATATGACRGAGAGATCTTCCAGAGGTTAACAAAACTTTGTTTTAATGAATCCTCTGTTTTCTGTCAGCTGTAGCCAGGAACACCTGCTCTCTGAGCCATTGGTTCACATCAAATACTAGTTGTAGGGGGTGAATGTGACAGCACTGGTAAACACATTTTACTGGATTCCTTATGCTGAAGTTTGATATAAATGCAATCCTTCCAGCATTTCTTACATTTCTGCTACWCCCCAATATAACTCTTGTATTGAAAATCACCAGATCTTTTGACAAGGCTCATGTTTCTGTTCCTGCCCTCTTTCATCTCRTAATTTCCCGCATGAAGTTGTGCAGGTGGCTTTTTACTGCTCTTTCAGCATGGCAAGCCCTGATCCAGGAGTTCCCAGCTTTTGGCCTGCTTTGAATTACCATTTCCATCATGAGTGGGTCTGGATATTACTATACTTATTTGATTTGTAACTTCTTTGCTATTTTGAGGGAAGCTGGGTTCTCTATTGCTTTTCACTGCCTAGGACTGGGCTGTTGTAATGAAACAGGTGGATTTTAGTTGCCACAGGCTGCACTTCAATACATTTCAATGGCTGCTGCCAGGTTATAAACTTTTCCCACAGTTAATGGTGTCTGTCTCTAGGTGTTTTTGGACAGTCACCTGTGATTTGAGAAGACATTTTTCTTAGCTGGCACTTGAAGCAGGATGTGCTGTTACYTATTTTAAAATTTTTATACAGAAAATGTGTTCATAACTGTCCTATTTCAAACCTTTTTCTACAATATTGTGTAATTCTTGCCTGTTCTTTTTCTGGCAGTCCTTCTTTCCAGTTTTTCCATAATCACTAGGTAGCATTTTCAGCTCAGGCTAAAGCAGGTCAGGTCTTTGTGCTTGCGAAGGTGCTATGCCAATTTAAATATATACAAATATAAATGTGTATATAAAGTTTTTACTTGGCCTGATGTGAATTTTTAGTATTTTTTTATTTGGCTTGCATATAGAATGTTCTTTGAATTTTTTGTTCTCTTTATGACCAGCAAACAAGAGAATTTTGTTTCATAATTGTAAAGTTATACAAGCTGTCTTGAGGAAAAATGGTTTAGCACTGGATTTGGCTGTTTTGTTTTTTTAAGCTCTTTATGTTTAGAGTTTCTAGGGGCTTTTTTGTAAACTTGGGTTAAGGTTTCTATATTGGCAGAAAGAACAAARGTTTTTGAATTCTACAGGAGAATTTGCAAAGGGAAGATGGTTCAGATGTTCGCAGTTGGACAGTGTTCCTTGTGGTTACCACCATCTTGTAAGGTTAAGGGATGATTTATTTGTGACTAAATTTAGAGTCTTAGTAGAAGAGGAAAATAGTAACAGTGCTGCATGCTGGCCTCATGGAAGATAAGAAGACCACACTTGTGAGATTCCCAGTAAAATGCTAGTGTTGGTCAGATTATTGAAAAACTAACTTTTCTGGTTATGATGTTRTCTGAAAGAAATCTTCAATTTACTTTTGCATCGGCTCTGGGAGGAAACTGGAATTCTTTCTTCTTCCTGACTAATTGGTATTGCAAAAAAGAAAAGATTTTTTGTCACTTTCCAGGCTTTGCTGTTTCCAGGATGAAGGTTGTTTTTTCTAGTGTGATTTGTATTAATATCTGCTTCTACAATGAAGTGATATGGCCAGTGATAAATGCTACTAGAAAAAAAATGAGAAAAAAAGTTAAGATTTATCTTGTAACATTTTTTTCATTTCTAACTGTGGCAAATCTGTGTCAGTGGAAATTGTGAAACTGGCTGCATGTGTGGAAKGATGTATTTAGTTAATATTTGGAATATTTTCAATTTTGAAGTCTAACATTGCTGCAATGAAASCTTCAAGAAAAATACTGGAAGGTCACATTTGCTTGTTTCCAAAGACAATTTTTCTTCTTTATCTACTGCTTTTGTGTGAAAAAAAGTGCAGTGTGATGCATGGCAGCAATAGCAGAGTTCTTCTCCCTGAGTTTTAGCAATGCCAGCTCTGGGAATCCTTCCCGTAACCCTGATCAACAGCTAATTCTAGCACTTGGCTTTCATAGCTTGAATTATTGGATTTTTCCGGAGTAGCAGAGGGGATGGTGCCTACCTGTGAARCAAATCTTAGAGCCGAGTTAGCGCAGGACTGGTGTTTCCAGTTGAGGTGGATGAGAGCTCCCCTGCCTGCCCAGGATAATGGAGGATGGTTCCTGCACAGCACTGCTGTGGTACCAGCTCCTCTCTGCTGCCTGGGAAGCTGCTTTTTAGTCAGGGTTATTGGCCACTTTTGTTTACTGGAAAGCATTAATAGTTTAACAAAATGTTTGCTGGTGCAAGGAGGAGGCAGTTCTGTGGTTTTCCACGTTGAGGGTGAGGAACTCATTAGAAATTATTTAAATACTTTTGAGCTTCTCTGATGTGTTAAGGACCTTACCAGGTGATATTTCTGTGTAGCAACTTTTAAACTCAGTGTTTTKGGGTAAAGTCCTTTAACTGAAATGCACATAAGTCTAATCTTTTGGTTCAAGTTAAACTCATCCAGAGCTGTTAATGAGTGTTTGCCCTGATTTACTGTGGTGAGTTTTTAGCAAATGAATTAAGTGCTGTGATTTKGATTAATTTTCAAGAGAATCCTAATGAATGCAAGCTCTCGGTGGAATGTACTTTAGTGTCTAAGAAATCATATCTGACTTGTTTTGAGTGCTCAAGTGGTGTCACAGCAGCATTTTTAGCATTTTGATATCTCAAACAGTGAGACTAGTCTRAAATAGCTTTTCTGTTTGGAAGAAGTGTTTTTCTTCAAGATCTGGGGCACAGTGTCTTGCTTATTGAAGCAACTTCAGTGGAACACTGTAGACTTTGTTACATAGTTTATATTTCTGTACTGTTTTGCATAAGGATATGTAGTTGAACTGGAAGAATTGTAACTTGCATTAAAAAAATACATCTGTAGGTGTTGCTTTGGTAGATAATTTCAATTAATGCTGGTGGCTTTTTTACCTTGGCCTGTTCTCCTTTACATATGTGCTCTAAAATATTCTGTAGCTTTATTGTTGCTAGCTTTTCTTGTCATATTAAAAAAATAGAGTAAGCCCTTGAACATCTTGAGAACTGCTCACAAAGCAGTATCAAATCCATAAGGTCTGTAAAATTACTCATGCCATTGTATCATCTGGGAAACTGTGTGAAAATGACAAAGTGCTGGCTTACCCTGATCTTGTTTTCMATTTAAAGTTTAAATTAAACATCCTAGGACTATTTCTCGTTGTATCCTTTCCTATACTAACCTTTCATTCCAAAAGGAAAACTGCTTTATTTTCATAATTTTTACTTTTTTTCTTTCTACCCTTTTCCAGTATTTTTTTGCAATACTATTTTATGGTCTCTTTGCCTCCACCCACTTGCAGTATTTCTGCAGTTTCTTGTTTTAATGTATCCTTCTTTTAAACTTAATCTTTGTTTGCCCAGTTGTGTCACAAACATGCTATAGGGTTTGAAGAAATTGTTTCCTAATCCCTGGCAAACCTGACTTCTGAGCAGAAGGGGCAGATAAACAAAAACTGGTGTGAAAGGAAAGATGTTGGGACATATAAGATGCTGCTGCATTTTTGGACACTTACTGGTATTCTTTCATCTAATGGGATAAGGAATTTTTCAATGTTCTAGTTTGGATTTCAGTTGAGCCCAACAGTAACATGAAATAGTTCACACTGGGAAAAAAACAGCTGGGAAAAAAATGAATGTATAGTGGAATAAGCTCTACAGTGTGGTAGTTTAGTTACATTTCTTGTTTCTCTAATAGATGTTTATTCTTAACTGTGATCCCAGCCCAGAGTCCCTGTGCTGAAGAGTTACCTGTAGCACTCGTACARCAGCATCATCTTGCACTCCAAAAAYAGGGGATTTTATTGCATGTGCCACTAGATTCCTTATTTAAAGAAAAAGTAGAGGGGAGAAGGCACAGCAACATGATGATGTTTTACTSTTCTGTGTTTTAAGAGGTCCCTGCTGATGAAATGTTATTTAATGGAATTAATCTCAGCTGGTTAATGAGAYGTATATTTCAATTAAAATATTTTCTTAACCTGAGCAAAGATTTAAGTTTTGTTTTCTCTCAGTCTAAATGTGAGTCTAGAAGCAGTTTTCAGTGGATTCTTCTGTTGAGAGAGATTCTCTTGTGAATCTCTTAACCTTGTTGGTCTCATTGCTACGACATTGTTACTCTTTCAGATTTGCATCTGTGCTTAAGTCATGTGGTCACTAATGATTTCATGATTATTCYTACTTTTGGTTCTGATTCTGTGTTTGAAGTAGGGCTGACAGCAATGCTAGTGGAACCWGCTGGTCAAGATCATGTCAGAGTCATTTCAGTCCATCCTGCCTTCCCATTTGCAGGATGATTTCACAGCACAAGGGTTTAGAAACCATGTCCTATGAAAGCTGGCAGTGCTTGGAGGAAAGAAATACTACTGAATGATTTTAAATTTTGATTCTCTCTTACTCAGAAAGGCAACAGGTAAAGCATTAGGGCTAGTTAGAAATAGGAAAAAAGATTTACATGGCTTCTGAAGGGTTTTGTCATGACCAACAAAATTATGGCTTGAAAATTGTTGGGTTCTCTCTTCATTGCCCCTTTATTATGATACTGTAACAATAGAAAAGCAAGAATAGAAGTTCTTTTTTGAGTTTAAATATTAGAGTTTAAATAAAAGATTGCTTTATTTTGTTTGTGTCAATTGAAAAATACTGCAGAAGTATAAAGGTAGTAAATATACTTTATTCTAAGGTGGGACAAATATTTGGTGATAAACTAGGTATTTAAAGCATTCTTTTTATTGATACAGCTTTTAATGTGTTATTCTTATTGATACAGATATGGTCCTGAACATCGTGAGCACGTGACTTCAAAAATGGACAACCTGATCTGTTACAAGTTGTGATTGGCCTTAAGTTGACTTCTAACCATTGAAGAGCTTAACAGGAATTCTCTCATTCCTGATTTTTGCCTATCACTGATTGCCTCACACCACCAGCTTAATCATGTATGGAAGTGCTCGTTCYGTGGGCAAGGTGGAGCCGAGCACCCAGAGCCCAGGGCGTTCACCGAGGCTGCCGCGGTCACCTCGCTTGGGCCATCGTCGAACCAACAGCACAGGAGGCAGCTCTGGGAGTAGTACTGGGGGTGGCAGTGGGAAAACCCTTTCTATGGAAAATATTCAGTCCTTAAATGCTGCCTATGCTACGTCTGGCCCTATGTACCTAAGTGACCATGAGAACGTGGGTGCGGACACCCCAAAAAGCACCATGACTTTGGGCCGGTCGGGGGGACGGCTGCCTTACGGTGTCCGGATGACTGCGATGGGCAGCAGCCCTAACATTGCCAGTAGTGGAGTTGCCAGTGATACGATTGCGTTTGGAGAGCACCATCTCCCKCCAGTGAGCATGGCATCCACTGTGCCTCACTCGCTGCGCCAGGCCAGGGATAACACCATCATGGATCTGCAGACGCAACTCAAAGAAGTGCTGAGGGAAAAYGATCTGCTTCGCAAGGATGTGGAGGTGAAAGAAAGCAAGCTGAGTTCTTCCATGAACAGCATCAAGACCTTCTGGAGTCCTGAGCTAAAAAAGGAGAGAGCTCTGAGGAAAGATGAAGCTTCAAAAATCACCATTTGGAAGGAGCAATACAGAGTTTTGCAAGAAGAAAACCAGGTTTGTCATCTAATGTCACTGCTGTGTTAGTGTGGTAGCATGATTAAATTACTTTAATAAACTTGCRTGTCACATTTGAGCAGCTAAATTAGATTGGCGCTTTTCTTGGGTAATTGCTATGCCTAAGACATGTTTTCCATTTGCAAGCCTGTTTTAAAATGTTTTTGGACAGACTGGTAAACCACCTTGAGTGCTCGTTTTTCCCTGGGTGTCATCTGAGTTTTTTCCCCCTAGGGCTGATGGTAACCACTCAGCTTCTTTTTGAAACTATTTATTCTGTTTGTAATTAATATTTCTGTGCTGTTTACCTCTTGAAGCATTTTCTGAGTTGCGGAATGTACTAACTGCTGATCCTAAATGTAACTGAACTGTTGCTGAATGTTGACAGGTTGCCATTAAAAACTAAGTTAAAGTTACACTTTATGACTTTTTTGGTCATACTTTAGAGTTAAAACCTCCAGACATGCAGTTTTTACAAACAGATATAAATTTTATTCTTAGTTAGATTTAAGTAACACTTTAATACATGCTCATCTATTCTTTTATCATAAACTCTGCATGTCTTGTTATGCAACTATTATAAAACACCCTACGCCTTTCTTTGTAGTGGTCTGGCCAGTTACAGAATAGGCAGAAGAACAGAGTCTAGGTCTTTGGTCTTGTGCATCTTAAAAGCATCTCCAAACTAACATGAAACAAAGAGGTTGATTAAAATTGAGGTCTCTTTGTAGTCWGTTCTACTGATTAAAAGCTTTCTTAATGTTGTCCCACCTAGACCTTCTTACTGCCTTAGTAAATATTTGTCTTTGAATGAGTGTCCTCTTGTTTAGTTGTTTCTAGACAAATGTGAGTTCAGCATCTCTCTGGACTCTCAGGTAAAAAAAATTCATTATTGTTAGAGAGAACAGGCCCAGTGTCCAATTCCAAAGGCTCCCTGAGATSTAAGTCAGCCTTTGTCATGACAAAATTACTTTTCCTGTTGAGCTTTCCAAGCAAGCTTATTGACATCGTTTCCGTAATTCAAGTATGACCATGYTCTTTTAGCTTTTAAGGTATAGTTGCTATTTTAGGCAATGCTTTTTGTAAGATTGCTTTAGAAGGTGAAGGAGAGAGGGAAACTGCTGGAGGAAAAGGGTCATGCTGGCTATGCTTGATGTGTACTCTGCTTCCAGGTAGGCTGTCTTAAATAGTAAATTACTTTTGGGTAGTGATTAGTCTACTACACTGAACCTGTCTGCAKTTTTCTTTTCACTTTTTAAAGAGCTTGAGTTGAAGAAAGTGAGTAGTTTTTCCTGAGATAGTGTGAAATAATTTAATGAACTTGTCATGTAGCTTTATAGCTGTATTCTTACCAAATGGCAAGTATCACAGTGTGGGATTTGTTAAGGAGTGTGACATTTTGTGTTCACTTACTTAGGTCATTTTGGAGAGCAGAAAACATGAAGTTAAATAATTTTTATTGCTAAGGTAGGATTTCTTTAGAAGGAGTAATGTAATGAAAATACTAGTTATAATGGTGCAATACCAGGGTAACAAATATCTGGACTACCGATTGCTCAAGTTTCTGGTGTTCTTTGTACTTCAGTTGCMGGTAAGTCTTCTATTTCCCAAATTCTTTTCATTTTTAGCCCTGTTTTCATATTAAAGAGAATGCCTTGGAATACAATAAGATCTTTTCTGAAATTGGTTTTGACATTTGAGGATGCTTTGTAAATCTTTCAAGAAAAATGGAGTGAATGTATGGTTTAGAATGGATTAAGCAATTGCTAAATGTGAATACATGAGAGAACAGTGATTCCTCTGTCTTAGATTTTTTTTTCCTTGTCTTTCCTTYATCCCCTAATTAAACATTTACAGATATTTCTAGGCTGCTGTTTTCTAGGCAGTCACTGTAATTACTACCACACTGGTAGATTTGTATAACTTTGGTCCAAAAAGAAGGGTGCAATTTAAAAGTAAAGAGGTATTATTGCATTAAGCTGTGAAAACTAAGAATGCTAATTAATAGATTATAGTTAGCGAACAGTGTGCTCTAATTAAATTCTGAATTGGTTGTGTCTTCTATAGCCTTTTGGAGTTGGTCACTTCGGCCCTTTATGTGGAAGATCACTTTAATAGGATTTTCTAATTAATTAAATAGACAATTAAATTAATAAAAATTAAACTGAAGAAATTAATAGTAATTAAATAGACTTTTCTGTTTAGACTCTCAGCAAGGAGTTTCCCAGATCCTTTGGGGGACGAGAAAAATACCTTCATTACCTATTCGGCCTCCTTCTAAAATGAATTCCAGTGTAATTTTAGGAACAGGAGTTTTAGACTTTATTAGAAGTGATGTGCTGAAATACTCATGTTAAAGACTTCTTGCACGTGCAGTGCTTGTGCTTTATATAAAGTTTATCTCAGACCAGTTGTGTTGTTAAAAATGGAGCCAAGATGCTGGCTGACTCATGCCATTATCTGATAGTCATCTCAATCTCTTTCCTGTGGTCATGGCTCTTTATTCTCCTACACACATGATTGTCCCTGATTGTATTACTGTTCTTGTCACCTCAGCTTGAGTGATTGAATTGCTGCTTGGTTAAAAGTACCGGGGCCCTGGTTGATTGTTACCTCAGCCTTCAGTGAGTAAATGCACTGGTATCTTTGGGTTTTCTTTCCTGTTTCTTGGGAACATGTGCAAATAAATGTATTGCTTGTTGATTTCCATTTTTTTTGCTTGTTGATTTCCATTTTTTGCTTATTGATTTCCATTTTTTTCTTATTGATGAAGAAATTTTCTGGATTCAGTGAAGCTCAGAGAATGAGTGGGGAGATTAAAGAGCACACCACTTGTCCTGAGGCAGGCACATTCTTTTACTTTTCCTCTTAGGGCATCAGGTAGGAGGATGTCTTGGATATGATACTGAGAATGCCATGCACATTTGTTACTGATCTTGGAGAGACAGAAAATCCTTTCTTTTCATAAATGGGGGTTGTTATTGGCATCTCACTTTGAAGAGCTCAAAACCAAACATGGAAAGTATTCCTGTAGTTAACATAGATCCTTGAAAAACATGATGGTTTTCAGTGCAAAGAGGATTAGTTAACCAATCATTCTTTCCAAGAAGCCAAGAGGAAAGTGCAGATGATTGCTCAATTATGCAAACCCATGCATATTCAAGGAGGAATTGATGAAACCAGTAAACAGGAGCTTGGTTTTGGCATGGTATCATGCTCCTCAGCATGCTTTAGTGGGAGCTGTATTTTTCTGAGTTGAAAAATAACTTTTTTTAGTGTGTGTGGTTTAAAGTTTCCCTGGAAACCTCTTCATCAGAAGCCAGAAGAGGAAGGGAAAGACAGTGAGTATATTTTTCACTGTGATAGAAATAATTTGCCTAAAAACCTGGGCAGTGGTGGGGTGATGTTAAACTCAAGGATAGAGGAATTCCTCTCAGTTGAAACTTGCTTATGACAAGGTGCTTGTGCCTTAAAACAAGTAGGGCAATGCAAATTTGGAGTCTAACGCCCTGCATTGAAATTTCCCACATTCGACTGATCTACTTTTAAGATCAGATTTATGTTTCAGCTAAAATAGTGTGGTACTGCTGAAAACATCTTTTTACTTTGATGCATTTCTGTGGTCTTTTGTGGTTAGAGACCTTGGATGTCTGAGTCAGAGAGTTTAACCTAGAAAATATTTCTGAAAGGAATTTCACCTTCCTTAGGGTAAGCATTTGAAGAACTTTGTACTTTGTTGTTGATGGAGAAGTGTGATGGATGTACTCCAGCATTTCACCGGCATTCTTCTCCAGAGGCAGAAGTACTTGCCATTTCTTGGTAGTGTGTAATGAGCATCTCACTTTTTAAAATGTGGTTCTCCATGTGTTAACTTCTTAAATGATTTGGCTGCTGCTGTTATGAGACTGGCTGGGCTTCTAATTGAGTAGATTCTCTCTCTGAAAATCAGATTAGTTCTCACTTGTCCATTGATTAAWTTTTTTTCAATTGTGTATAAAAAAAGAATTGATATGTCTTAGTGCTGTGTTATTCTATTACTAGTCCCATTCTGAGTTAGCTATTAGTTGATAGAAAACTAAGCTTTCTTCCATTATGGGTGTTTGATTGTGTAATATGTAGTTCTATAGGCCTTGCTTTAAGGCATTCTCTGTATCCCAGAGCATTGCACTTAAATAATTCCTTCGATGGCAGATGCCTGTTGGCTCTCTAGAATGCTGCCAGCTCTAAGGTTGCTTCTGTCTTTCCCCAGTTCCAGCATGAAATTATAATTCAATTCTCTTTTAGAGTAACTTAGAACCTCCTCAAGAGTGCTTGGAATCTGAAGCATTTATCAAGTTGCAGCACTTTGTAGCAACCTGAAAAATTATTGTCTCATTACCCAAGAGAACACTCTGTGTTCTGTCTTTTTTCACTTCTTAAGGGAAATAAAACTAGACTTTGTGTGCTTATCTGTATTCCCCAATGCTCCTTGTGTCCCACGTTGGGTTGCTTTGAGCTGTAGCATAGGMTGAACAGCTGGTCTCTACTTGATCCATTAAACATATAAGGGGAATACTACCAACTTAAAAGCAGCTTGTAATAAAACGTGTGACGTCAGTGGTGCTGTTGAACTTAGTAATTTAACTGCTTTTTTTGCTGTTAAGCTGGAGCAGGGATTACTCTAAATTCTGCAGAACTTAGAGCAGACKCTTCCTGCTATATTTCTTTCTCTAGTATGTATTTAGACGGTTCAGGTATTAGACTCCTAACTAGGGTTGCAGTGTGTTATTCCACCATTTAGTATAAATATTCCTGAAGTGTCTTGTCTGTAATACTGTATTTCTCTAGAAACCGTTCCTTTCAGCATTATCGTATTTGTGATGTTGGAGTTAGTAATTTTTTCTCTTAAGTGTTGTTGCTTTCTAAAGTATGAGTTAGGTAGGTGGAAACTGTGCAAGACCTCCTCTTAGTCACCCAGTGAACTGTTAACAATGACAGATGATGGCAATAGTGCAGWGGTG